GTTTTGGAAACCGTTTGTCAGCAGCAAACTATTACAGGATGTAGAATATTCCAAACTGAAATTAGTTTCAGAACTTAAGTAGAAGGACTAGAAAGTGCAATGAGGCAGTCTTATTGAGAGTGGAGATGAGACACATAGCCATGAAAGAGTGGGGATTGAGGGCACTTTGTTTTTGTGATTTTGCAAGAAAAATAGGAGTGGTGGTACATTTCATAATTTGGGTGTGATGAGTCAGACAGTATTATCCAAAAGCAGATGTTGCAAGTTGTAGTCTTTCAGTATCTTAAGAATCCTTGTGATATGTCATGTGATGTCTAGACTTTATAATCCTTTATGTGCGAGGGGGTGCATCTTCATGCACATGGATCAATGCACTCATGCACCATCTATGTGAAAACCAGGCACTGGTGAGCAAAGTATCAAGTTACTAATCAATTTTCAGTGTAGGTACGAAAAAGAACTTATGCATCCCATACAGGGTCTTATGGGTGGAGAGCTTGCTCGCAGTCTTCTTATCCAGGTCATATACTTGTTTTTTATGACTTCCAGCAGTTTTCCGGTTCGTGACCTGAGTTAACAAGTTCTTTACAAACAGGTTCAGAAGCTAAAATTGGATATTGAAGAGTGAGTTAGTTAAACTGATATATTTTTTCTAGAAGTCCTACGTTCGTAACTTGAGTTTTTCCCTCACGATTAATCCTTAAACAGAGCAATGCTTGAGCTGGACCAAATTCTGAGAGCGAACGAAATCAACTTTGCTATTCTAGCTGCTTTGCCAGCTTTCTTTCTCTCCCTTCTACTAGCCATGTTGGTGCGTGCCTGGTTGAAACAGGTACACAATTAGGTTCTACTTCTGGAGTGTTACTTCATATGTGGTCTAAGGAATATATGTTCTTGTTGCTTACCTAATCATCTGTTTTTATCAATATCAACTTCGTATTTTCGTTGAATCTGAAGAAAAGTTCTATGCCATCCTTTTCTTCTGAATATTTTCTTTAAATCTGTATAAGGTGAATGGTATGGGTCAATCATAGATAACATCTAATTGTCATTTTAAGTTCTTGCTCACGTTTAAGAATAAATAGACAGTTACCTTATGTTATCATGTAAGATCTTACAAACCTTGCAGTTTATTTGAGGTGAAAATCAGTTGAGATATCCTAAAATGTTGAGCATTCCTTTGCTTGTTTGCCTTTTGACCTGCTAATCTTATTTTATTAACCATAATTTACACCTGAGATATCTGTGTTTGTTAATAGTGCACCAGTTGTTACAATTGTGAACTCAAACACTGAGTTCCTTTTTCTCGAGCATTAGTAGCTGCAACAGTTATAAATCTAACACGTACACGTGTAAATGAAGTTATACTAAACATGTTTCCGACGTTTCTTCTGTAGCATCTGTCTCACAAAAATTCCCAGCAACCCAAACTGAATATCTGCTTTTACTTCTGTGGACTATCATGATAAATCTTTCTTACAGCTTCCCAAATCACCTTTGTTAAAGTAATTTCATATATTTCGTAAAAGAGTCATGGTTTATCTGTTTACTTTACTTTTTTATGCGTAGATATCTATTATCTCACAGGTCACTGTTATTCAAAAGTGTAGTGTCAAGAGTTAGAAAATAATTGAGCACTCACATATTTAACTCCTGCTGGACACAATTAGTGAAGTCAACTAGGGATATTCAGTATTTAGCTGAATTGAAAGTATAACATGTTTGTAAGTGCAACATATTGGTAAAGCACGGCAACTCCGTTATCTGGTAGGGTCCAGTTGATGTCAAATTGAGATTTCATTGTTGGAGAGACTGAGACACGGTTCGTAGTAAGACTGCAAGCAAATGTTAGACTTTCTTTCAGAAGGTTTGATTGTTAGCATAATAGTACTTGTCTTGAAAAAGGGCTTCCATTGCGTTTGATGAGAGATAAAGTTTAGTTTCTGGAATGGCCGGTAGAGTTGGGTAGTTTTGATAGTGTATGGTGGTTTGCCTCAGTGTCAAGTTCATGGTTAGCCTATGTTCTCCTGTAGAGTTGTTTGCAAGGCATTCTAAACTATCAATTGAAGAATTCATTATTGGTCTTTCCCCGATAGAGGCATGCATCTAATATTTTAGAATATTACCTCTCTTTAAGTAGATTCATAATAGTGGTATGCTACTTCATAATTTTAAATTTACGGCTAACCAAGGAGGAGCTATCTTCAGTTCCTAGTCGTTTTGGCACTTAATCTTTTACTCTTCCAAACCCATCTTCTGCCTGAAACCCTAGATCAGTATTCTTTTTCTTGCTACCTTTTTTACCCCCTCTTGCTATACTCTATTCAACCCTTGACCATAGGTAGCAGCTATTTGTGCTCAAATTTGGGATTTGATGATTCTATTCCTTTAATCAACATTTCACTTTGGACATTCTCATTAAGCCCCTGTTTGTCACCCATGATTTGGAAAATTAAAGAGTTTTGAATCGTATTTTTTGGAGAATGTGTGTTTAAAAAGGAAAGAAACTTTATTGGTTTGTGTGTAGAATATTTTATTGTGTGCATGTGTGGTAGAGAATGATGCCTTAGCAAATAATTTAAAATTTTAAAGGGTAACAAACAGGCACTAAAAGCTTAATCATTGTTGAGCACACTTCTAGTTCCCCAACATTTTCCTTTTCTTGTCACTACCATGAATGAATATTTATCTAGCGCGTTGTATTAAGCATGACTAGGAAAACTCATCATTAACTGCATCTGCTGAAAGTATATTATGCTTAACAAAAACAGTACTCCCTCTATCCTGTCATTAGAGTTCAAATTCGGAGTAGTTGAATATGTTCTTTCTGACATAAATATTATATTCTAGTTTTGCCCATACAAGACTGCAGTGTGCAAATTTAAATTCACAGGCCATGTTTAAAAATTCCGTACCAGTACCAGAATGCAAGCATGTGTCTCCAATTTACAACTTTATTCATCAGCTTAGTAAGAGATATCATACGAAGGATTATCACATGATATACTAAATTCCATAATATGTATAGTTATTTTAAGTGATAGCTGATTTCTTATTGCCTTAAATTAGGATACCAGAGCTGAAGGTAGAGGAAGAATAGCTAGGATTCAGAGAAGGCTGCTGCTAGTGGAAATTGAAAGAGCTATTATGCAGTTTCAAACTTACGAAGACAATGGATTGGTATGTCTGTGGCTATTTTGTGATTTTTTACTCCATTAGCATATTAAATTGTCTAGAAGGATACTCTTGGAAAACTATATTAAAAACTGATCTGTCTTTGACTATGTCTCTGCTGGGAAAATGCCTGATCTATTAAAAACTTCTCTTCCATGTATACACACACAAGATATGATCTAGCGGAAGGTTTAGTAGGAATATTTTGGGGCCACATAATCACATTTGTGGAGGATTTATTTTCAGTAGTAAGAGATTTTTGAGTTTGATTCATGTGGGTGCCACTAACAACTAAGCCTCCGTTTGGCAATCAATTTTATAAAAATTCAATCAAAGTCAAACATTAATTTCAACCACATATGCCAAACATTTAGTGAGATCCACTAATATTCCTTGTTATAAATTGATACATAAATAAGTTTGTCCCAGATAAAACCCTCATCTTTTTTCGAGGTTTTCCTTGGAATCCTGCATGCATATATTCTTAACACGGGTGGCCATTATCTGGTTACATTTAAGTTTTTTCACTCATCTGACAATGGGATCTTTTTGTGTATCTCACAGGATAAAGATGCTCAATGCATGTTCGGTCTGGAATTATACTTTCTTGATTGCTTACACTGTGCTGTGGAGGGGCATGCAAAAGCAACTGGTGAATGGATATGGTTAGTTTTCATTTCATTAGTTTCTGAAACTTGTAGGAGCTTCTTTATCCCACACAGAAAGTTTGGATCAGGGTGGGTGTGTGTGTAGTAGTGTAAGCAATAAATGACCAGTTGTTACTATAAACAGTTTGAGACAGGATATTATTGATTTGGCGAAGCCAGGCCTTGGAACTGAACATAAGCTCGCTATTTCATCGCGCATGGAGCGAGTATACGACTGCTTGCTTCCGTCATCAAAACGAAGCTAATCTGCTGCTGGCATGGCGTGGAGTTTGCAGAAACATGTATTCAATAAATCTCAGCCAATTTTTTGTAGAGTTGCTAGTATCATTTTGGTACTGTTAAGGGAAGAGTGTAATAATCATTCACGTACGTAGCCATAATGATATTTTTGGTACGAAGCGTGTATTAAATTATAGTTTAATCAATGATGAATCGAGTTTTTTGATATTGGGATTATGATAAAGGTTTTTTTGATGTAGGATTTATTTATTGCTACCCTTGAAATTGTCACTGTAAAACATAATTTATGAAATTTGGTGCAAATTATTCCTAATATCTGCCTTCAGTGATCTCTAACGTTTGGTTTTTGGTACGTCTTAAATTATGTGTTTTGGCGTGCAATACTTTTTTATGAAAAAGACCAATATATCCTTAATTTTAATAATGAAAAATTTCTGTTGGGCCCCTAACCTTTGGAAAAAGTACAAATGGGTTGCAAGCCTAAATTAAGAATATTTATTTTACCGTACTAAATATATCATATGGTCATGTCAATTAAATTTTTCAGCAGAGAAAAAAGAAGTTAAATTGTCACGCTTTATGAGTATGTAGTCGTCTGCGATGTGAAATTTGAATAAAAATTTAGATAAATAATAACAAAATAATGTATATAATTATATGACATTCGACCAATCATATTGTGTTTTTATTTAACATTAAAATATTGAGAAAAATTATTATAATTATTATTATTATTATTTTATTTTTTTTTTGGCGTAAAGTTCATTCAACTGCCGATCACAATTTTTAAGCTATGAGTCTTAAGATTCGATGGACATTTGACTTTGCCTCGAAGGAACTACAATCAACATGAGCTGTCATATTAGCCTCTCACCTCAATAATTAAAAAAAATGTAAAGTTCAAAAAAATAAATAATTCTAAAATGCAAATAAGAAGTGACACCTCAAGAACATGGATAGTACTTGGAAGGATTATTGACTACCACAACTTTGTTGCTACAATCAGATTCAATAGCTAGATGGGTAGCTGTGGGTGTAAATGACTGTTCCCTGAAAACAGGAAAACTACTTGTTGGTCCTTGTAGGTGTTTCTTCCATCAACATTTTCCAGTTCAGCTCAAACCTCTGCTTCAATTGGGCTTAAAAAATGTCTGAATCACTCGTTGAACCACAAAATGTCATTGATTTTGTGGTAAACAAAGGCAATGGAGTGAAGGGTCTTTCTCAAACAAACCTCAAAAGCATCCCTGAACTGTACATCAATCCCCCTGAAGAAAGACTAGACCAAACCCAAGTTGTGACAAAAAAATCCATACCCACAATTGATGTGTCCAAATGGGATGACCCAGAAATTGCAGATTCAATCTGCAAGGCAGCAGCCCAGTTTGGATTCTTTCAGATCATCAATCATGGGATCCCAATTGAGGTTCTTGAAAATGTGAAGGAGGCTGCCCATGAGTTTTTTGAGTTGCCAGTTGAGGAAAGAAGGAAGTATTTGAAAGAAAATTCACCCTCTCCTACTGTGGAGTTGATGACTAGTCACAGTCCTCTGGTCGATAAGGTTTTGGAGTGGAAAGATTATCTTATCCATTATTGTGATGGTCAAGAAATTGAGGACTCCAAATTCTGGCCTCATGTGTCCAGGTCAGTTATGTGGATTCATGTTTGTTTATTTAACCTTAATTTCTTATTAATCAAGGTTTTTATTTGTTCATCTATAAATCCTTTTTGTGCCTCATGTAACAAGCATAGAGTAGAAGTCACACTTAAAACAGGCTGGGAAGTGACGACATAGGACATTATGATGCTCGTATAGTTATGAAACTTAGCGATGTGGGACGCAGTTGAGTCTTTACATGGTTTATGAGAAGAATTAATGAAAATGAAGCAATATTTCACAATAATAAAGTAATTGGGAATCTGGAATCAAATTTATTAAGGTAAGATCCTTTATTTTCAGTATCAATATTTTGTGCTGGTGGTATGCCAATTGAGGCCATTCTCGACTAGCCAACATTTTGTCACTCTATTACAGAGATCAAGTTTTGGAGTACTTAAAGTGGACAAAACCTATTATTAAGAAGCTACTCAATGTATTACTCAAGGGACTTAACACAGACGAAATGAATGAGGCAAAAGAATCTATCCTAATGGGTAAACTGGTTGTCGACTTCATCTATTATCCCGTGTGCCCCAACCCAGAGCTTGCAGCGGGAGTAGGCCGCCACTCTGATGTATCATTGATTACCGTCCTCCTTCAAGATGATGTAGGCGGCCTTTATGTCCGAGAACCTGAAGGGAATGGCTGGATCCATGTAACACCAGTTCAAGGGGCACTTGTTATAAACATAGGGGATGTACTGCAGATTATGAGCAATGACAAATACAGGAGCATTGAGCATAGGGTCACTGTCAATGGAACCAAGAGTAGAGTTTCAGTGCCTATATTTGTTAACCCTGTTCCTGATGCAGTTATTGGTCCTGTGCCAGAAGTTCTTGAGGGTGGTGTCAAACCAATATATAAGCAAGTTGTCTACTCAGATTACTTCAACTATTTTTTCAGTAAAGGCCATGATGGTAAGGAAACAATTGAGTATGCAAAAATATGACAGGTATCTTACTCGGAAATGTTTAAGGTACTATTCTATCGTTTCCTGTAATATTGGTCACTAATGTCTGTTAGTCCAACATTTATATTTCATTCTCTGCTTCAATTGATCTTTAATTATATCAGTAAAAGGGGTATGTTCGAGTTTTAGCACGTCTTTAAGCAATTTGTTAATGAGGTAGCCCTGATCTTAGTTATTCATTGATGGCTCGCCTGACACCCCATTTCCTCCTATCATCACCGGTAATGTATAGAGAAAATTCTTCATCCTGTTCACGGGACACTCCCAGTAACTACAGAGCAAGTTTATCTGATGGGCCTCCATTTTTGCCTAATGAAAGGTGCAAAAGGATCACTGGCATAGGACACCAAGATTGCTACCGAATTAATCGGCTTTCCCTAAAGGTCCCTTTTAAGAGGAGGATCAAGTTGGCGCTTGCGAATAGTTTGATGCACTTATATTCCTTCAACCCTTTGAAATTGAAGGCTATTGGAATTTCTCACCAGCTTAATCACTTAAAAGATACTTCACAATACTTTGCAAGCAAAAACAAGTCAATATCCAAAACAAAAAACCAAAGTTGCGTGAACAAGAATACGACGTTGGAATTGCATAAATTCGGCATCGGATCACGAAATCTTAGTGACCAAAAAGGATTTGCCCTGTATCACAAGGATCTTGCTTCTTTTGCAACTGCTGTTCGCAGTTGTTCACAATTAAGTCGATTATATCCCTTCATTCATAGCACCTTTTGTTCGTAATGACTATTCAATGAAATATGCTCCCAAAAAAATATATTCAACCATTTTTCTCAATATATTGTCCAAATTATAAATATTTTCCGCGAATCATCAAACATATATAGAAGTGTTAAACATTTTCGGCATTATTGATATCTGATTGGTCATTTGTTAAAAAATCAATGTAAATTTTAATGTTAACGCTTCTATTTATTAAACATGACAATAAAGCCATGGATTTTTCTTTAGTGCAATAAAGTTTAAATACTGAACTGAGAATTTAACTACTGAAATTGTTGGTTTATAACAAAATATAATACGAATTTCCTTTTTCTTTCTTTTTTTCATAAAGAATCAAGATCGCCCCTACCATCCGGCAAAACGAAAAGTGGAATACGTTCGACCCAGTTAAAGTGAAGTTAATTCCAGGAAGAAATGACTACAAGAAGCTCGATTCTACATCGGTGTGGGGAGACAAGGTGTATCGCAGTTAGGTCAGCGCATCTGTTTTAAGTACAGAGGGTCTAAGAAACCAAGACTAAGTTTTTCATACCGATACTTCAAACTTCTCATACTTCAATTATAATATAGAGCTAAAAACATTCTATAATAGCAGAGAATTAGATGCCACAACGATTCAATTTCCTTACAAACATTTTCCAATTGTCAAAGTATTCACGGTACAATAAACCTTGGTGTGTGAAAAACTTCATTAAATTCTACAATCCCTACTAGATAAAATGACAATTTAGTTTCCCAAGTACCAAACAAAATTGGTGTTACTTTCTCCTTTACCCTAAAAGACGAAACAAAGGCACAAAGGAGATGAACGACGATACTGCAAGAATATAAATCTCAAATGGACGCGCACAAAAGAAAGAAAAAAAAAAATAGGGAGGGATCCATAGTCATAGCTTTTCGTTCTTTGCCAAAGACTCTGCTTTATATTCACTTCCAGCAGTGACCACGAAGCCTGCTTCAACCTGAAATGACAGCGCACTGAATTATATTGAGAAAAAAGACAGATGCAGCTTACATGTGTAATTGTGAGTGTGTGAGATATAGAGACCTGGCAATCCTTCAAAACAACACGCTCTTGGAGCTGTACATTGCTGCAGATAACAGAACCTAGGATGGAACAACCATCTCCAATTGTGACATGGTCCATAATGACTGAACTGACAACCTGCAAATATATAGAGCCAACCATTTCAACAGCTAATATCTATTTGTCCAGAATATCTGCGACTGCATTGACTAAAAGGATTTTTATCTCTTTATGTGCAGAATGAACATCCCTGATTCTTTATTTTCTTTTCTCGTATGCTTCACTAATGGTGCTCACGAGGCAAACATGATTCTGATTCTGTATTATAGCTGAAACCTAACCATATACCTTCACATTTGAACCTATCCGACAATGACGGCCAATGACAGATTTTTTCACGCTGCACTTGTCACCCATCAGTGAACCATCCCCCAGCACACATTGTGGGCCCACCTGAATCAAAATCATTCACTCAACCAAACATAGCATGATAATCTACCCTAACAAGTGTACAAAAGAACCTACACGTGCTGAAAATTTTATTTAAGATCATTCATACCTCTAAACAAGGACCATTACATGAGATCATTCATACATCTAAACAAGGACCATTACATCCATGTAATTATGATTTAAGCATGATCATGCATATAAATACAACTCACCGTGGTTTTAGATCCAAGTACAGCAGAGGGATGAATCACATTGTTATGAGCAGAAAAAGAGTAGCCTGAGAGATGATTTGCATCTCCTACTACCTGAGCCAGTTAGGACTTAAAGTCAGCTCACACAATACAATGTTAAGATCTATTTGAGGCAAATAAAAATATAACATGGAGCAAAACTTTCAAACATGAAACTCACATCTCGGTTTATGTCACTAAATGCTTGAATGGAATTTAAGCGTGCACAATACTTGCTCTTGTTTGCAATGTAAACACAACACTTATGAGTTTTCCTTGTCATTGAGGCAGAACCATCCGGACCCAAGGCAAAGAGTTCGTGAAAACTTGGTGTAGATGCATTAGCCAGAAGTTGAGATGGCAAGATTTTAATGTTCTGCATCGCATCCGTACCATTGCCATTTTCGTCTGATTGAACTCCATTTGACAATAATTCAGATCTCTGATGTGTCATCAAGAAAATGAATCAATTAGATCTTGTCAAAGACCCAACTTCCTACCTCTGAATACAAGATTATCAAGCTTCAAACACTGACCAGCTGGCTTCTAACAAGATAGGGCAATACATCACGTCTCAAACTTTGATAAGTTTCGTTTTGATTAAGAACATCTAGCAGAACAGATCTACAAAAAAGTCAAGTGAACAGTGTAACATTTAAAGTGGATTGAGCTGCAATCAAAGAACAAGAACTCATTTAGATGTGTAGAGCGAAACCTCAAACCTCTTGAATGCATACATATGAGCATCCATCAGATCAGCACAAATTTCCATCTACATTAGGAATGAATTGAAAGAAATGAGATAAGGAAGAAAGGAAAACATTATCTATAATTTGCTAAAAAATTATAAATCTTCAGCAACATTTTCCAGCAGGCAATAAAATATTGACTTGAGAAACATAACTAGAAATGATGTTGGTTTTTTGTGAGACTTCTAAATTGAATTTATGTATAATTTCAACTTCATAATTTATATTGAACCCCAAATCCCATATCACATGAAGAGAAAGGACTATAATATTTTATGCGTTTCCATGTCCACATCTCCCAGAATTTGAAGACTGACACATATCCGTTCCCCATACCAAGTCCTGGTAGCTTGGAACAATTTTTCTTGACAGAGTTATTTTCTGTTCAACACCAGTGGATTGGCAGAGGAAAGTATCTACCTGGCTGACAGCTCGGAGAATGCTCTTCTGGACTCGAATATCTTTCTCAACTTCAGCTCCTTTCACAAGTCACGGAGATGTTTAGTGAGGGAAATTTTCCAATCACATAACATTTAGAAACACGTGGATATTCAAACATCTCACCAGCTGCTATATGCAATAGAAATTGCTTCGTTGGGTCCAATGCTATAATGTTATACCGTCCTGGTTTCTTAGCTTTGTCCTTTGCACCAGAGGAACCTGAATCCGATGGTCCGCTGACAGGAGCGGAGCAAAGCAGAGCAGTTACTACAGCGTCATGTCGTCTGTGAGCAGCTGCCACTGCCCCAGGGGGAACATCACAAACCAAATCACCACTCACAACCTACACAGGGAAACAGGTGAATTGCTGAAGCAATACAATGCTAGCAAACTCAAATGCCGAAGTAGATTAGAATTCCAACCAAGATATCCTTTGCATTCAGTCTACGATGAATAGCTCGAAGAGCACCAGCTGTTCCAACATCCTCAGGAACTGCAGCCACCTGCAGTAGTTAATTTATACTCAAGGTAAATTGTGGGAAAGTTAAGATAGTCAAGACGGAGGTAGATTCCTCATAATTAAACTGGTATCAAAGTGTATCATTCTTATTTACCAATAAAATCGTATTTTACATAAAAAAAAAAAGGTCTTCAAAATTAATCAAAGCAAAGAGCTTCCAATTATGTGAATCTATTCAGCATTAAGTAACTAGTTAAAAGTGGTAATGGACCATTCTTCTTAATGCACAAGTCATATATAAAAAAATCTGCCTATTTTTAGATCTAGGAAAGGGCTTTCTACCAATTAAAACAAGAGTCGAACTGGACGACATAACTCTGTAAAGCTAAAAACCTGACCATTGGGCATCACTTCATACGAAAAGGATTATTAAGATAAGGAAAAAATTATATTATATAAGATTTCAAAAATATTAGTAGAAATCTGGTACAGCTAAAAGATCGTTCCAGTTGGATTTGGAGTAGTGTTGATGTTAGGAATCAGAACCCCATGTGGCTAAAAAATATTCCTTGGAAAAGGAGCAACTTTCCTAAAATCCACCGTGATTCATAAGAGTGATCAGATGTTAATGGAACAAGTTTAGGAAGGTGTAAACTGGTAAACCAAAAGTAACACAGACCGATTTGGTTGCTAGGAATCTAGTAGTTTTGGATCTTCCAATATATGTATCAATGAACCAAACGAAGTGGTGAAAGTAGATTCATGTAACCAATCAAACAATTAATGGCAATAAGGTTTTTACTGCTTTTGTGGCCAGATATGATTACTATGGCAGCCATTCAGTTATGATAGTAGGTCCATTACCCAAGGCATGAGTTTCAGCTCAGCTAGATAGTTTTTGAGATATATGAGAAATAAGCTAACAGAAATTATTACCAAACTTAAGCTAACAGAAATTTTTACCTAACAGGTTCAAATCCAAAAGTGCCAAAGAAAGACAGTTACCAATGTCACTAAGGTACAAAAAAAAGACAATAGTAGTAGTTGACACTCATTAAATCAGTTATAGGAATGTCAATGATCATAAAAGATGTGATCCTAATATTAAAAATCTACATATTTGATTCCATGTTTGGAGAAACCATATAAAATTAAGTGAGATCAGAAATTAAGTCAGTGCTAATCATATCCTTGTGATATAGCAGATGGGAAAGAATAGAAAGTCAAGAATGCAGAATCCTCAGCATAAAAGGCTAATAGGACTATTGGTATGCGAAATGATCTAAATAGTAAATCCATATCTTTGATGGGAGTCCCATTTCACTTCATATTCTGTATTGCTCATCCACTTCCTGTGTTTACGTAGGAAGGTTTGGAAGAGAAACAAACATAATGTTCAGTACTTCTCATACTTAACTTCTTCAAAGAAACCCCGTTTAATATTTATCACACTACATATGGTAGGTAGCATCAAAGAGAAACGGTTATATCAAGACCTATGCCTTCAATAAACATTTCCTCGTTCTGAAATACAACTTCAACGTCATTTCTTTCCCCACAGGGATTTACCTCATCTACCATTAACATAATGCTTTATATACTAAAACAAATGGGACGCCATATGCCGCGCATTTACCCATGGACTAGAATGCATATAGTCTACAGCAACGAGTCATATCATTAATGGATGACAATTTCAAATCTTCCCGGAGATCTACCTATATACTCACCATTTTTTTCACAAGAAACTTGAAGTTAATAATAATAGAACCATGATTACAATAATAAAAATGGTATGGATTTCTGTGACCTCATGAAATAAAAACAATGTTCAGAATACAATACATCTATCTAGATAAGAATAAGAAAGAGACAAAGCACTCTCCTAGTCTATAGAAATCTGTAAAACCATCATAATACTAAAAGCTTAGCTCTATCCTATAACTCAAAAACTCTTGCTTACGTTCTTCAAAAATCATTTTGTTCCACGCTGCCCAAATCATCCAAAAGATGGCCGAACCCACTGCTTTCACATAACCTCACCCATCTTGCCATTGAGAAAGCCAATTGCTTTTCAAGAAGTAATCCATTACGCTTGCCCAAGAAAACCCAATAAAACTGGTCTCCCAAAGAAGCCTACAGCTCAATGATCTTGCTATATCACAATGTAAAACAAGTGATGCTTACATTTCACAAATTAGAATTTGGAAGTTACCAACTCAAAATAAAGCTGTTTGAATCTCACATATTCACAATACCCTTGCTCAAAGTTCAAGCCTATGTTTCCAATCAAACCATTTCTTAAAAAAAATATACTCGAAATTCCTGCACTATGAGGCTCATTCACTGGAGTAGAAAATCTACTTCCAAGTTCCAATATTGAAATATTTATTGTTTGATTGATCTCATTGACAATTTGTAGCCTTACAAAATTGCTATGTCGTTGATTGTCCTGGCTAAGCATTTCTCTTGTTTTGTTTTCCTTTTTTTTTTTTGATAAGTAATCAAATGTTTTATTAATCAAAAGGTAATACACAAGAAGTGTATTCTACACTTAAACAAGAAATAAACGTCATGAAATTAGGCAGCCCATCTATATGACTAGAAGCTGCAGCATTAAACAAATTATATAATATTAAATAAAATAATTCTCTAAACTGCTCTAAAGTCTTTATTTGATCATCAAAACAACGCCCATTTCTTTCTCTCCACACACACCAAACAATGCAGCATGAAATAAGGTCTCAAATAAGTTTACTGTCCTTGTCACGAAATTTTTTCCTCCATGCCTTCAACATATCTTCTATACACCGTGACATCACCCAATCTATAAGTTGAGAAGCCAGAATATCATTCCATAGCAAATGAGCGCCATCACAATGCAGGAACAAATGATCAATCGTTTCCCCATCCTTTCTGCATATATTACACCAATCTGTAATATAGAACCCCTCAATTGAAGATTGTCCGCCGTTAATACTTGTCCCCTCACTACCGTCCATAGTAAAAACGTGACCCTTGGAGGCAATTTACACTTCCATACTATCTTCCAAGGGAATGAATTCTCCGCAGATCCCAATAAGGATCTAAAATAAGTGCTATGTTCTCTTCTCCTTTTCTTAACAACTAAAGCCAACCTAAAGAGTCATTATAGGCATTCTACCAACCCATAAAAAAATAAATAAATTCAGTTTGTCACCGAATTGGAGCTCACAATCAAATAGCTTACCAACTCCACCTCTTCATGATAAACGTTTGGCTTCATTTGCAAACTGCTCAAGTTATAACGAAGTTTGCAATTTATTTATAGAGTATATCTTGCTTCCTTCTTTTACATAACAGTATCCATTGAAACAGGCTTCAATCAAAATTTACCTGGACATGTAATCGATCAATGTACGTGCTGGAAATCCAAGCACTGACAGCAAGCGCTGCGGATTCCCCTTCAACAACCTAAAATTAAAAGCAAATCCAAATTTACAATTTCTCTTCCGAATTTGGTTCAAAAAATGATCAAACAAAGAAACAGTGACTTACAACAATAAGATCCTTAAGGTTTTTCTGCTCCAGAAGATCGAGAACATAAGACAGGACCGGCCTGTTCGCCACCGGCAATAGAGCTTTAGGCACCTCCTGAATTTTTTTTCCAATTGGGTGTGTTGTTTTTATCAACAAGTAACTAAAATAAATGAGGAAAAAAAAAATATATATATATATATAGACATTCCTGAGAGTGACCTTAGAAACCAGAGGAACCAAGGAAAAGCCGCCTGCTAACACCACCACTTGAAAATCCATCCTCTAGTGATTTCCTATACCAGTCTGCTTGTGGGGTGAAGAAGCGAACAAAAAACATATCCAAGAGTGGTGGGATTTTCAATTCTGTGCGTGTATTTATCTAATTTTGCGCATGTCTGTGTGTACGTTTTGTGAAGGCTTAGGAGGTCAGAGTTTTAACGAAGGAACGGGGTATGCTGTGTTATGTATCATGAATATTTATAGTTTAAAATAAATATTTTTAAATTTGCTAAATTGAGATTTTGATAACTTCTAAAACATTATAAATTTTAATGAATATCATATATTTGAATAGATTTTTACAAATTTCATAGGAATCTTTTCTATGGATTTCATTAGAATCTTTATTGAGAACACCTAAAATTTAGAATAAAATTCATCAATATCTCAATTGGGGACATGTCCTTAAATAAATGAAGTAAAAAAAATAATGGGCAAAAGTATATAGCTAAATCACCAAAAATACAGGTATTTTTTTGTCACCAAAAGATGTTTTTTTGCTTTACTTTTATAGCGTGGTGTATTATTACTATGTAGATGCCATCAAGGGCATATATATATACACACATGCACGCACGAGAAATTGATGATCAAACAATGAAAATTTTGGAACTTCAATCGGAAATTAGTGGCACACGGGTCTGACTATACGGGCAAAATTATGAATTTAGTAGTCAATAAAAGGCCTTATCATAAGTTATAATTTACCTACATGTTAAAATTCATTTTAAAATGCCACTTAAATGACTTAATTTTGAATTATTTGGACTTTCTCAATAGTTAAATTTGTTGCACTATAGGTGCTTAGCATCAGTCTAGGTAGTAGGGTCCAAGCAGCATTACCTAATTAGCAATTGTATTTATTTAAGTTTAACCAATTATATACTGTCCAGTGTCACCTAAGCTAGTGCTAAGCAAATAAAACCGAGATGTATGTAAAATCCCACTCCAGCCCATTAAGAGAACATGAGGGCACGAGAGAAATATGATTTTATGTAACCAATATCATATTTATGACTAGGGCTTGGTTTATGGTTGTTGTATAAGCTCTTTCTTTTATTTTTCAAAGTTATGCAATCAAATTCAATAATTCAGGCAAATCAAACATAGATTTCTGTGAATATCTGTCTGAAACTCAAAGGGAATCCTTTTTCGGAATCCCTAAAGAACCATGGCAGTACCCTCAATTACTCTAACCAATCACTTGAATAAAAATTCTACAGCAAGATCAATTAGGCCTGCTGAATCTGCACAAGAAGTCAATGCACAGTCTAATTTAGGCCTACTATAAATAAACGCAGCTTGCTTGAATTTTTTACTGAAATGTGTCAAGACTTAAGATTTTATCTTAATATGTCAATCTTGTTGAGAGAAGTAACTCACACAAATTATAAATCGGTTTTGTTGACACATAAAAATTCAGCCCAAATCAAGCGGTCTAAGAAGTGAAGCCCAATTGGAGGATCCTCAAATCAGAAAGTCCAAAGAACGAAACCCAATCATACAAATCAAGATGAAGGCCCGAATAAGGAGGCCCAAGAACGCGGTAGCGCCATCGCCCAAGTTTGCAAGTCGCCCAGAATCTGAGCGAATGGAGTGTCATACAGTCGCCCAGAGCTGTTACTCTATTCTCGCCCAAACCTTCAAGTCGCGCAAGGTCTTAACAAACATAAAGCATCATGGTTATCAAGAAGTGCAGTTATCAAAGCAGTTATTAAAACAGCCCTATCACGTTCCACAATTCGAGGAATTCAATCGAAAGCGGTTGAACGATGAAGAGTAATGGCAGCAGTTAAAAAAGGAAGTTGTCATGACAAGTTGGCCATTACGAAGAAAGTGGGCAGTTATAGGACGATCAAACAGTTTTTAGAGCGGTTGATCACAAATAGATCGTCCATGAAGTATAAAAGGGAGAAAGGACTTAGAAGAAAGGACCGAATCCAAAACTCTCGAAAAGAGAACATGTAATTTTCATTTCCTTAGTTTTTAGATTTAAACACTTTTCTTTCAGTAACTCGTGTGCTTGCGCCCCTTGGAGGGACGTTGTTTTTCATTCCCAATTGTAAAGTCATCGCCAATAAAAGAACACCCCTTTTTGAGACTTTGTCTCAAGAGGTTTCGTCCCTTATACAATCATCTGATCCTTCTTAATTGTTAGCGACTAACCCGCGCGAAACAATTTGGCACGCTCGGTGGGACAGTGGTGTTAGGTGTTAAAAGTACAAAAGGTAAAACAATATGCCTCAGAGATCCGATAAGGAAGCAACAAGTCAGGGAGGAATCCAGTCTGTAATCGAGCGATATGAGGAGCAGCATGCCTCTCCATGAACAGATAGACAGAACCAGAGCAGTAACAGTCGTTACGAACCAATGATGGAGTTGAGTCCTCGAACCATGCATGCATTATTTGGAGAACTCACATAAGACGTCGTTGAACAGGTAAATCTTCGAAGTATTCATAATATGGAAAGATTTACACAAAATGGGAATGCGCACTATGACAACATGGCCAAACAATTAAAGATATTGAACGAAACAATGAATAAGTTAGTAGGCCAAATATGTCAATCGGCTAACCTCTTACAAACCACTTTCAAATTAGGACAATTGTAGGACATAATCCCTCGGTCCTAAATCCGAATCAAGGGGTAGAACCGCTTTCTGGTCCCTCTACTTCAAACCAAGGGGGTACTATAGTGCCAAATCAGAACAATGGTAGTAATATGCCTAACTTGGGGGGTAATCCAAACGTGAGAGATAATGTCCTAAACAATGGACAGAATACCCCACGTGTTAATGAGGGAACAGATGTTCAGGCTAATGGTAATGGCCCTAATTATGGTAATTTTGTTGCTAATCAAGGACCAAACATCAGGCCTCATGCAAATCAACCGATTAATCAGCCTGTAGGAATTCCATATGATCCCAACGTCATGTTGAGGAACCAGATTATGGAAATCGTACAGGATCAGATGGCTTTTGGAGTGCGTCCCGTCATTAGACCGACGTACACAAAACCATATCCTGATTGGGTAGACCAAGCATATCCATGGCCTAGAGGGTACAAAGTGCCAGAATTCTCACTGTTTACCTGTTTAGGAGAGGTGTCTACTCTAGAACACATAGGGCGATTCACATTGCAAAGTGGTGATGTAACCGATTACCATAAAATGAGACTTTTCCCTAGTTCGTTGACAGGAGTAGCTTTCTCCTGGTTCATCAACTTGTCAGCGAACTCTGTTCAAACATGGCAACAATTGGAACAGTTGTTTGACGCTCAATTTTATAAAACTGAGTCTGAAGTCACTTTGGTTGATTTGGTGAACCTACGTCAAATGCCAAACAAATGGGCAGAAAGTTTTCTCCAAAGGTTCAAGACAGCAAGAAGCAAGTGTTTTGTACCTCTGCCCGAAAAAGAATTTATCAAGATCGCTCAGGGCTGTTTGAGCTTTGATTTAAAAAAGAAGTTCCAGGACAAGGAATTTCCTGACCTTTTCCAGTTGAGTGCGAATGTGATTAGGTATGAGCGACTGATAAGAGAGGAAGAACAAATGAAGAGTTCTAGTAAAGGGACTTATTACAAAGACCCAAATTTTGACGTTCATACCATCGACGACGAGTCATACGATCAGGCCGAAATGTATTTGGCCGAATTGGTCAAAGGGTATACTTATACTTGTCCTATAATGGCCAAGCCTAGACCATCAGGCAAAGATGAACCCATAAAAGATGGAAACATAAAGGCTAGAACGTTCTCGTTCGACGTGACCAAAGCTGACCTTATATTTGATAAATTATATAGGGACAGGCAGATAAAATTGAACGATAAGCACAAATTGCCAAACCCTGAACAAATTAAGGGTAAAAAATATTGTAAGTGGTATAATGCATGGTCACATTTGACTAACAATTGCTTGGTTTTCCGTCATGTATTGCAGGATGTCATTGAATCAGGACAAATTACGTTCGATGACAAGAAAAAGATGGCAGTGGACGAGAATCCTTTCCCACAGCCACTTGGAATAAACATGGTGACATCTGGATTTAAGAACAAGTTGCCAAAATTCAAGTTGGTCATAGATGAAGGAGAAGAAGATCCTAGACCACATCCCAGCGTCTTTGAACGAATCAAGGGGAAAAACCAAAAAAGGACGAAGACGTCCTGTGTGCAAGGTGTAAAAGAGAAGTGAATGGAAATACGGAAAAATCAGGGACATGGCAGCATCCTTATCGCCCTACCTTCTTTCCAAACACTCAACCTGGTAGAGGGCTAGGTACATCATTCTGTAGAGGACCGCCTTTTGAGAGGCAGTTCAGGCCAGCAGAGAATGGAAGAACATTCAGGCCGCAACCTCGCCGGCCAAATGTATGGCATTCATTCCAATACAATGCAGGAAGGGCAATACCCATCGATGAGATGACTAGGACACAACAAAGGCGTTTCCAACGAAACTACGGACGGCTGATGAGGCAGCAACAGGGAGTGCCACATCCTAAAGCACCTAAACTACTCAAGGTAGCCAATCAAAACGTCCTCAAAGGTGGTAAAGAGACCGGTACAGATGAATCAATAAAGGAACTGCCAGAAACCTCTTCTGGGAGATCAAGGTTTGAGAGAGACAAAAGGGATGAAGAAGATCCAGATCAGCCCCTTGCTATCCAATTCGGTACGTTGCCTCCTATCGTGGCCAATAATTACCTACTGGCCAATGAATTTAAGAATAAGGAAAAGGAAGAAGAGAGGGAGGACAACGAAGGAGAAGCTTGCGTGTTGGTATGTGAAGAAGGCCAGACTTCTAGAGAGGCCTACAACGACGAGGAAGACGATGGGATGACAGACATTGAAGAAGAAATCGATCTAGAAGCAGAAAGAAAAAAGAGAGGAGTATCGCGCAATACTCTGTTTAAGCAACTACATCAAGAGGGAGTTCGCGAAGTAGACTTGTTGGGGGAACCATCTGGGCGTTCTTTCGATTTCTACGTACTGTACGGGACACCCAAAAGGAAGAAGAGAGTGTCTCGCTCTGAAAAGTATGGGTCACCTCCAAGAATAATGTCCCCTCCCACAGGTTGGATAACTGATGAGGAAGTATTAGAAAGAAGTATGAAGGAAGTTCAGGAGACAAAGGATCAGCGTGATATACTGCACGTCGACTTATCACAG